GTGTGTGTGTGTGAGTGTGAGTGTGTGTGTGTGTGTGTGTGTGTGTGTGTGAGTGTGTGTGTGTGTGTGTGTGTGTGAGTGAGAGTGTGTGTGTGTGTGTGTGTGTGTGTGTGTGTGTGTGACAGGTCAGGCTCTGGTATGCACATGTGTGTGTCAGCTTTACACGAGACGCCTACCTAGACAGCACTTTAAAGTCAACATGGAATCAGAATGCACTATAAATAAACATGTTTATTCACTTTTATTCATCAAGGACGCATTAAAGTGATGAAAAGTGTCAGTAAAGACATTTATAATGTTACAGAAGATTTCTATTTCAAATAAACGCTGTTCTTTTGAACTTTCTGTTCATCTGTGAATCCTGAAAAATAAAATGTATCACGGTTTCCACAAAAATATTGTGCAGCACAACTGTTTTCAACCTTGATAATAATCAGAAATGTTTCTTGAGCAGCAAATCAGCATATTAGAATGATTTCTGAAGATCATGTGACACTGAAGACTGGAGTAATGATGCTGAAAATACAGCTGCGCATCACAGAAATAAATTACAGTTTAACAGATATTCACATAGAAAACAGTTATTTTAAATAGTAAAAATATTTCACAATATTACTGCTCTACTGTATTTTTGGTCAAATAAATATAGCTTTGGTGAGCAGAAAAGACTTCTTTCAAAAACATTTTTAAAAATCTTCCCGACCAAAAAATATTTTCAAAGTTGTAAATAAATATAATTGGAGCATGTTTTTGACAAAAATACTATTTCAGCCTTTCTACTTCAAAATGTCATGTTCAATTCAATGTTTCTTTGTAATTATTTGTGAAATTTACTAGCAGTTTCTGAGTGAAAAGTGTTTCAAAGGCATTGTTTTCAGTGCTACGGTATATACATATATATGTGTGTGTGTTACTTTAGTATAAGATACTTTTACAGTTTTTATTAATATTTTGAAATAGTTATATTTTTATATTTTACATAAACATATATTCAAATTTTATATTTTCTGTTTTCATTTTAATTTTAGTTAAAGTTTTTGTAATTTTATGTTTTTGTCGTTTTAGTTATTTTAGTACATCAAGTTATACTAAATGAAAACGAGAAATGTTAGCTGAATTAACTGAAATAAGTTTTTTATTTTATTTAATTTCAGTTAAAATGTACTTTATTTTAAGTAATGAAAATGTTTTTACTGTTGCAAGTTTTAGTTTGGTTTAATTTTAATAACACGCACACACACACACACACACATATATATATAGTATGTGTGAATGTGAGTTTGACATGTTGCCCATTAACACACTAGCAGTTCTCTAGTCCTTCACCCCACCTCGCCTGACGATCCAAACATGATTGACAATTGAGCTTAAAGTGTAACGAACAGCATCATCCTGCAACCTTTGCTTTTCCTTTCTGAAAGACTGAGCATGTGTGGAGAGCCGTAGGCAGGTCCTGCAAGCTTCATTTAGCAGGAAAACCTTCCAGTGCTGGAAAATATTCCAGCCAAAAACACGCCAGGGGAAAAAGAGAGTCAAGCCAGCAGAGGCGGCTCAAAAATAACCCAATTGAGATCATTTCTTTTCTATAGCGGAAAATTTATATAAATAATTCCACATAAAAGTGTGGCGTTAAAGCTGAAAGGAATCATGATTGGTGAGCGGCAGCCGCGATGGCGCCGCTGTTTGAGCGAAGCACGCGGGACGTTTCGAGGCAGCGATCCAATGTAAATCAAGACGATGTTGCTTTAACTTTGAAGTGAATGATCCGTTGCGATGCAGTCGTGAGTTCATAAAAGCATTGAGGCTGAAGTGTGTCATTTTTTGCATGTTACTCAAAGTGTAGAGTCACACATTTGTAGGCTGCTGATTGCTCCAGATGTTTCAAAACCTTTGTGTTTGAGCATCCTAACCGACCCGACACAGCAGCACTCGACCAAAACCTGACTCAGAAAACACGTCTCACCTCGTCATCCTTGTACCAGGACAGAGATTCGGCCGTCAGGACAAACCAGTACTCCTTAGCGCCGCCCTTCATGATGCCAATGTTATTGATGGTCAGCCAGCCCTTCCTGATCACCTGAAACACATTAGCCATGAAACACTGGCTTACTGCATACTGTACATTATAGTATACACTACCTACTGGAAAACAACGATCTGTGTGCAGTGATAAACACTTATGAACCCAGGTCTTAAGAGTCTTAATTCACTCTTTCACTATTAAAAGCCTTAAAAGATCAGAGCCATGGCTTTAAAGTTGCATGCATTTCAAATAAACATCCTTAAATCAAGATACATTTACTAGAGATGCAAAATGAAGAAATTAAGTCTTGTTTTCTGGGAAATTCAACAAAACTGAGTTTACTGTATGCTCAAAACAAGAACAAGTACCTATCAATGAGGAGTGAAAACTTTTTCCCCTTTTATTTAAGTTAATTTATCATTTTAGTCAGATATTTGTTCTTGTTTTAATCATAAACTCACTTAAGTTTGATCAGTTTCTCATTAAACAAGACTTCTTATCTGATGTCATTTTGCATCTCAAATAAATGTATCTTGATTTAAGAATTATTCATTTAAGATTTAAGGACGAACATCACTTTTTGATCAGAAGGTACAGTAGAATTATTTAGTAATTGGGAACAGAGTTATTCAAGTCTTAAAAAGTAATGGAGATCTGTTTGAATTTGTATTTTCAAACTTTGAAGTGTTGCTAATATAAATCATTATGAGACCATATTGGCGTATTGTGTTCCCTTCAGTTTATTCCTTATCCCTGGTCTTACCCCTTTTATTTAAGTTAATTTATCATTTTAGTCAGATATTTGTTCTTGTTTTAATCATAAACTCACTTAAGTTTGATCAGTTTCTCATTAAACAAGACTTCTTATCTGATGTCATTTTGCATCTCAAATAAATGTATCTTGATTTAAGAATTATTCATTTAAGATTTAAGGACGAACATCACTTTTTGATCAGAAGGTACAGTAGAATTATTTAGTAATTGGGAACAGAGTTATTCAAGTCTTAAAAAGTAATGGAGATCTGTTTGAATTTGTATTTTCAAACTTTGAAGTGTTGCTAATATAAATCATTATGAGACCATATTGGCGTATTGTGTTTCCTTCAGTTTATTCCTTAAATGTTCTTTACTTGGTCTTAAAAAGTCTTAAATGTATATGCAGATACTTGGTCACTGTATTTCAAGCAGTGCATACTTAACATGTTCTTGTATTGCTAGCAGTAACACACTTTGAGTTTCCTTCAAATTTTGCTATCATTAAACCAGATGTGTTATTATTCAGGTAGCTAGATATGAACATAGTAATAGTTTAACACAATTTAACTAACTTGCTCTTGAGGATTTTCTACAGACAGTTTACATACTGCACACACAACCATCCAGTATTCATTCATGAGCAGTGAGGTGTGTGTGTGTGTGTGTGTGTGTGTGTG